CGGGTTATATAGTATCAAGAGCCTCAATTATTTTTTTTCTGACCCCTTATAAACATTATATTATTACAATTAAAATACTATTATTTAGTGTTAACAGAATCTAGGAATGTTAATCAGTCCCTTGGGATCGAGTCCTGACCGATCCTCACCGATCCTTGAAAGGATCGGCGAGAATTCGATCCCTAAATCACATGATAGCTCATTATGATACAGATCCTGGGACCCGGTCCCTTTTATAAATCCTAGGACCCGCTTTCGCTAGACGTCAGAATAGACTTTAACAAGAAAGAATGCTTGCCGTGGGCAGGTGTTTTTTTTTTTTTTTTTTAAAGGCGTATGCCTTTAATATAGAAGTAATTTAAATTCTAATTCAATATGACTAAGAGTTAAAGAATAATAACAGGTATGATTTTAACTAACTCTTTAGCCAAAAAAGCAGTGTGCTTTAGTTAACCATCTCCGAATTCAAATATATAATTAGACGTGAGTAAACTTATAAAAGTTAAGTTATTGAGTATTCAACGACAAAAGAAGTATCGCTCATATATTACTTTTTAAGAGCGATAAAGGCATCACCCTTACTAATGACAAAGACGAAACACCTTAAAGAAGGTACCACCTCCTTTGCTAATGGAAAGGTGAACCCCTTAAAAAAGTTAACCATCTCCGTTTTTGAATATATAATAAAGGTGAGTTAAACTTTTCAAAGCTAAGTTATTTAATATTAAACAATCAAAGAATATACTTACACTTGTTTATCATCTCCGGCTTTGAATATAATAAAGGTGAATTAATCTTATCGAAGTTAAATCACTTAATATTAAACACAATCAAAGATACTTACACTTGTTGACCATCTTTGTATTAAAATTAGCCTATATGAACAAAAATTTAATCAATAATAAAGGCGATATACTATTTATCTGATAACAAAAGCGTTTGTTTTAAAGTAAACCATTCCGTTTTGATAGTAACAATGAGAGAAAGTTTTTGCAAGTAATAAAAGTAGCATAGTATTTCACTCGTTTATCAAAAAAAACATTCATGTTTTAAGACAAACTATCCCGTTCGATAGAACAAAGTCAGTATGATTTAAAAAAACTAACCATATTTAAAGCAGAATTGTTGATAATGATATCTTCTTAGTGAACAAAAGCTGTATATTTTTAACAAAGTAATGCATTTGTAAAAGTTATTTAAAGCTTCCATTTCCTTCTAAAAAAAAACAAAAAACAAACAAAAAATAAATGGAAAAAACAAACGAATTTGAATCAATTATTGAAACAAATCAATTTGAATTCGAATTTACAGAAAAAAAAACATCTAGTGAAGAAACCTCTACAAGCGATAAATTCGCACCCTTGTTTCTAGATAATACAAATAAATCACAAAAAAAAATCTCTTCCGCACATAACTGAGCACCTGTTCGAGATTACCTTTTACCAACCTCTGATGGAGGTAAAAGATATAAATTATGTGAACAAACTTTTGGCAACCTGACCATGATATCAACCATTAACCGACATTTTCAAAATTTTCACCCTTCAGAATTTACCAAAATCAAACAACGTAGATTTCGATGACTCGATCCTTATGGTCCAAACGAAAAATTTAAAGTTGACATTTTAAATAATAAACTTTTAAGATGGGTAGTTGTTGATCAGCAATCATTTTTATTAACCGAAAATACAGAATTTACCAATTTTTTACAAGAACTCGACCCTCGTTACAGACTCCCGTGCCGTCAAACACTTTCGACTTGGGTTAGTCAAGAGTATATTAAAAATAAAAATAAAATTAACTTTTTTTTAAATACAATTTCATCTAAAATCTCAATTACAATAGACGGTTGGACATCGTGTACTCAACAACCCTACATTGGCGTAACAGCGCACTGGATAGATCCTGAATGGAAAATGCATCGAATCTTATTAGATATTATTCCATTTAATCAGACCCATACTGCTATAAACCAAAGTGAAACGATTATTGAACTTCTAAAAGAAATAACTATTGGTCATAAAATTTTAGGAATCACGACGGACAACGCCTCAAATATGATTGCGATGGGGCGTATTCTTAAAGATAAAATAAATGACGAGTTTAATAACCAAAATCTACAACATTTTCGTTGTGGTGCACATGTTCTTAATATTATCGTTGAAGAGGGAATTAAATCAATCAGTAAAGAAATTTTCAAAGCACAGGAGTTCTCTATGAAGCTTTGAAACTCTCCGTTGCTAATTCGTGAATTAAAACAAATTTTTGAAATAAAAAAGCTTCCATTTTTAATACCCGAAACTGATATGGATACCAGATGGAATAGTATGTTTATTATGCTAGAAAAACTTCAACGAATCCGTCCCATTACCGATATTCTTGTAGCGAGCAACCAAACATTAAAACTGATTTATCCTAACGAGCAAGAATAGCAATTTATTGTTGTTAGTAATTATAATTTTAAATTTTTTTTTTTAAATATACTTGACTTTAATAAAATATAAATTACAAGACCTCTTAATTCTTCTTGAGCCTATGTATCATACAACCGCAATGCTATCTTCTTCAACAGTTCCTATCTAGGGTGACTTGCGTATGATATTCTGTGGTCTTATTCTACACTTGAATGATAATGAAAACCCAGTAGTTAATATACAACATGCTGTAGCTAATGCTATGAAAGTAAAATTTATATCATATTGGGCCTACTTAAATGAATCATCAACAATCTCGGGCCTTCTTGATCTACGTAATAAACTTTCGACCTATGAAATTAGTGAACGTGAACAAGCTATTAATTAGCTTCATGAAATGTACAAAAATTATAAACCTCCTGAAAAAAATGAGCTATTACCACCATCTACTACCACTACTACTAAATCAACGCGTGAACTTTTTCGCACCCTTACGAACTGCCGTCAAGTCAATTTGAACCGATATGAAATTAGCAAATATTTAAATGAACCTGAGACTGAAGCAGATCCACTCTTATGGTGG